CTGAGAAGAAAATGTTTCTCATCTTCACTTTCATTTTTGCAGAGAGGACATATTCTCTCTTCTGGTTTGACATATGGGCGTGAATACCTCCCTCTTTCAATTTCTAAAGAATGATTACTAATTCTAAGTTTAGTAAGTGCTATTCTATGTTTGATATTGCTGACTTCTTTGAGATAACTTTCCTGTTGGTAGGTTATTTTAAAAGTTCTATAAGTTCTAAGTTTGTTTCTTTGAGTGTCTTTTCTACCCATATCATCATGAATTTCCCCTAACCATGTTTGTATTTCAATGTCCTCTAATCTCTGTTTTATTTGTTTTGCTAGTATTTTCCCTTTCGTTTTGTCAAAATTGTGTTGCCATACAAAGCTGTTTGTGGCCTAATTTGTTTAAAATTTGTTTGACTTTCCCGCTCCAGCTACATGAATCTGGAGTGTTGTCAACAGCACAGTCTTGTAACGTTAGGTATGATAACTTTATTTTATCAGCAGTAACGAAATTAATCCAAAACTTTATCACTCTTAATCTGGCACTTACTCTTAARGGAAATAGTCCCAGTTCTGATCTGCACGCGTTGTTTGATGCCCGTTTATTGACTCCTAGTAACATTTTGTAAAACTTTATATGCACAGCTTCTGCAKGGTCATTTTTGATGTTATCTTTGATATCACCACCCCACACCTCACTTCCATATGATAGGATAGGTTTGATTAGAGAGTTAAATAATTTAATAGTTAGATATATGTCTGTCCTAAAGTGATCTCCGAGATCTCTTCTAAGCTTAAACAAAGCTTTTAACGCTATCTTCTTTAGTTCTTCTCTTGCATTGTTAAAGGTTCCAAAAGCGCCTAAGTATAGTCCTAGATATTTATAGCTTTTCACATTTTCAAGTTTAGCATTTTTAAGATAAAATTCAAAATTACTCATTCTTTTGCCAGTTTTATTAAAGACCATGACTTTAGTTTTTTCCAGATTAGTGTATATTTTAGATACTTCGCAAAAGTATTGCAGTTGAGACCCGTTTTCGTTTGCGATATTAGCACTAAATCATCAGCGTACAAAAGTCCTTTTATTCTATAATTATTTGCCACTGTTAGATAAGACGCATCATCATCAAGAACTTCTGGTAAATCGTGTAGAAAAATATTGAACAGTGTGGGAGACAGCATACATCCTTGTTTGTCACCTGTATAGCATCTAAAGCTCCTCGTAACGGTTTCGTTTATTTTCACTGATGATTTATCGTTGGAATACAAGGACGCTAGTACAGCATAGAAGTTGCCTGATATTCCAATCTTCCTGATTTTTTTCAAATAGCTTCTCTCTTGGAATCGAGTCAAACGCTTTTTTGAAATCCATAAAAACACGTAAATAAATAGTTTTTCGTTTTTTTCTTTTTTTCTTTTCACATATTTATCTATAAATGTTTTCAAAATAAGTATATTATCCATCGTACTGTGTTTAGATCTGAACCCACATAGTTCATGGGGTAGTATGCCATTAGTTTCTAGATAATATTCTAGTCTTTTGTTAAGGATTTGAGTAAACAATTTCCCAA